TTTTCCTTTTTTTTTTTTTCTTGTGTGTGTGTGTAATATTGTGGAAGGAGTGCATTGAACTTCAATCAACTTTTTATTTATTTATTTTTAACATGTACTTCCATTATTTTAAAATGCTTTGGAGAAAATATCCTGCTTAAACTTCCCAGTACTATTATTTCACTTATGCATGTTTAGATGGTGAGTGACCAGAGATCCTCTAATCCCCAGACCAAAATACCAGGCCGGATTACAAGTGAAAATTAATTCGGTTAACCAGGCTTAACGTTTACAGGACTTAGAGGAGCAAGTTCTGTGCTGCATTAGCAGAACTATAGTTAGAAGATCAAGGGATGTGAGTATCCCACTCCCGTCAAGCATTTCTTATGCCAAACCTGGAACACTGTCCTCTTTTTAGGGCTGCCAAAATGATAAAAAGGGTTGGAAAAATGTGGCATCCTTCTCTTGGGAGGAGGGAAAAAAAAAAAAAAAAAGATTGCTCAACATAGCCCTGACTACAGCGCTGTTTTGAACAGAAGGATGTTCTCCGAAGGCCCCTTCCAACCTCAGTGTTTCTATTCTGTGACTTAACATTGTCAAACTGCCCCTGTTTGCTACTGAGCCGAAATAGAGGCAACGGTTTATATGGCATCATTCCTAGCATTACGCTTACTTAATAATGTAATGCTAAATGTTGTTAGATCTGTTCTAGAAATTAATAGCCTGATGTATCTTGAATTTGAAGTGCTGTCAAGGTAGTCACGTGATGTATTAAATAACCAGTGCCTGTTACATGTTTGTATAATGATTGTGCCATGCCCCAAAAACTCTTCAAGTTTATTCTGAAAATTGGAGTTATCTGAAACTATTTCAGGAAATGCTAGCTTCTGGCTGAACAGTATACTGAAGTTTAGACCTTCAATAAAAATCATAGTCATCTAGATTAAAGCATATGTTTTTTGTAAGTTGTGAAACTTTTACTGGTACAGGTATTTTTCAATTCAAGGTATGTGCCTATATATATATATATATTTAATTAGTGTTCTGCAGACACCTATATTCCTCTATTAACAAATTTTCAGCAGGTGATTGCCTCACAAAGATGTTTGACTGTGGGTGTACTAAGCAGCCTTTTGGACAAGTTTAAGGTCACCAAGTTCAGCACGTTTTCAGAGTTGTCATTGCTGCAAAAAGAATCACTGTCACCCTTTTATCCTTACCTTCCTTGTTCCCATGTTTGTGTGGTGAACCAGAGTAGGGAACCCTTCTAAATTAAAGGGCGACAAAGAAAAAAGAAGTGGATAAGGTTGGTTTTGGTTCACCACACTTTAGCAGGAACCAACTACAACTACCAGCTACGGAATGAGGAGGATGAAATTGTCTTTTGGTGCAGCGCTAGTCTGCTCTGTCGTGGACTGTAATCTGTGAGATATTAAAGAAGGTGGTAGAAGACGGAAGAAATTTGATTTCATGTTCTTCACTGAAATTACTGGTCCTAGGCTCTCACAGGTATTTTGTTCCGTTGCTCCTGCATGCAACATCAGTAGTTTTTCAGTGATCTGGTCAGTAAACACTTGCACACACTCAGTCCTGTAGGTTTGGTGGGAGAATGTACTTCTCCCGGTGTCTGAAGTTTTCAGACGGAGGAATTTCATGATGTTCTTCATGTCATGCTTGTTCAGATCCTCAAAACAGTTGCTTCAAAAGCATTTATAATTCTGAGAAACTGCAGTCTCTGCCCTTGCATGAAGACCAAGGACTCAGAACCTGTCATCAGAAATGTCTAATTTGCCTCTCTCTAGGAGAAACCTAAAATACAGATTAATTTTCTGTAGGCTAGGTAACAATTTTATACAAAGTTTGACTTCAATATTTAATATGCCGCTTCCTGAATTAATGCACATACAGTAAGTGAAGTGGTGGTAGAAGGCATGAAAACAAGGTACAACAATAGTGATGCCAGACTTGGAGAGTGTGTCAGAAAGGGGTGCTCTGGAGGTAAAATGTTCTGTTTAAAGATTTTAATTTCCCACGATGTGTCAGCTAAGATACCAGTGGCAGTTTTCTTTATTCTTCACATCAATGCTCAGTGAGACAGGATAGCGTGTGAATACAGTATGTAGGAGGCTGTATCAGGCAGGCACTGTGTTGAGTGATGCAGGATGTCCTTGCCCGTCATATGTGAATTCCAGCAGTCTGTGTACAGTCAGTTCCTAAATGTGCCTTTTGACACAGAGAATCAGTTTAACTGACCCTAGTTATGTGCAAAACCACTTTCTGCATTCATTTGTCAGGTATATGTGAGTATTTTTGAGTGTAGGGTCAGGTATTTTGTTTTGTGTTTTATATGTACAGTGTTTTGGGGACCTGAAGTGCAGCATTTCCCTAGTGCCGAGATTGGCCTAGCCTCTCGTGCCTCTTTGAAAATAGCTTAAATGGATGATGTAGTGTGAAAATGTGTTCAAGTTTTTGTAGTCAGAGATTGTCAAACTTTGGTTTTTGAAAATAGAAAATATGCATAGCCCTTCAAAGGAAATACTGTAATTGAACTACCTTTGTTCATCTTACAAAGTTTAAAAATAGTGGTTTTGCTCAAGGTAGTCAGTTACTGTCCACAGCCTGAATTTGGGCCATGTAGATTTGATCTGTGGCAAAACTTGTTATAAGCCTTGAAGTGATAACCTGCATTTAGGATGATTTTGCAGCAGGCTGTTTGCTTAAATTATGTTTCTGTTATATGGAGGAATAACGTCTGTGTGCAGCACATACTTTTTCTCATTCTCTGTTTAAAAAATAATTACAGTAGTGGAGACACATACATTAGGATTTAATGACTACAAAATAAATGGGTACTTGCACCAATGCAGATGCATGCTATTCTGTTTGATGTTTTTGGAAAGGACCTCTGAGTTACATACAGCACTTTTTTTGGAGAGAGACAGTATTCAATATCTAAGAAGATTATAAGCTAAATTTTTGTTTATTTTTGAAAACAGTCAAAAAGAAACATGCAAAAACCTGGGATCTGGGTGAAAGATAGCTGAATTATTTTATGCTTAACAAGTCATTCTTCAAATGAATTCTAGGTGATATTACTTGTGAAGCAGATATTTTTTGGCTTAAAAATGGCTTGTGAATGTTAGGCC